TTGTATATGTCTCTAATTCCCTTTATCTTTCCTAACTTTGCAACTATCTTGTTCGATTCCTTCTTATTCTAATTTCAGCTTCTTCTCCTCTTTATACTATTTGCGTCTGCTTCTCGTCCTTGAATCTCGTCTACTTCTCTTCCTGGCTCCGTGTCTGATTCTCGTCCTTGAATTTCGTCTGCTTCTCATCCTAGCTCCACATCTACTTCTCGTCCTCGATCTTCTTCTCTGTCCTTCAGCCACTATTATCTACTTCTCCTCCTTCAATATCTATTTATTTGAGATTTATGCTATATTCGCCGCTCTGCCGCTCCGTAGCGATGTTTCTCTATGGTTTTTCTATGGTTTCCACTTCCTCCTCCCTACTTCCGCCCTTCTTGAAGCTCTTCCGCCCTTTCTTTTTTTCTCTGCCCCTTCCGCCTCTTCCACCCACAGCCTTCTTCTTTGTCACTTCCTCTTTGTCACTTCCTGCCTTGTCCTTTCCTTTTTGTTTATAAAGAAGAGTGCCAGTTAGACACAACAATATGGTGCCAAGGTCAGGAGTTTTCCTTCTTTAATTGACTATTAGGCAGGGTGGGAGGGCAGGAGAATGGGGGGGGTAGGAGGAGGGGGACTCTCACGGCTTGATTTATATTCTTTCTTATTTCAGTTATCTCATTCGCATTCTTATCTTCCTTATCTTCAAAATATTTAATTTAATTCGAATCAGTAATGAAGCGGCGAGTAGCTCTATATTTTAATAGAAATTAATCCAAATTAATTTCCCAATTTACCTTTCCGGGTTTCAAAATATAATTTTAAATTTTCGGGAGAATCTCCCCCTTGATTTTATCTCGTCTATCTTCCTTCCTCCTTCCTCTTCTGTTCCAATCTTTTACCTGGTGTTGAGATATTCTTTGATTTCTCCTTTGGGTTTCTTAAATTCTTCTTCGTATTTGTTGCATGGGCTGGCAGCAGTTGAAACGGGTCTTTGCCCGATCCCAGCGGGGCACCTGCACTCCCGTCGGCTCGGACCCTCTTCACCCCCTTCCTTGAGGGAAGGGAGTATTTGGTGTCTACGAGCCTCCCACGGGTTGCTCTACACCTTCACACTCAATCTGGTGATGGTGGGGGAGCTTTTCAAACTTTTTAAACAGGGGTCCGGTTCACTGTCCCTCAGACCGTTGGAGGGCCGGACTATAGTTTAAAATAAACTATAATCAAATTCCTATGCAAATTGCATATATCTTATTTTGAAGTAAGAAAAACAAAACGGGAACAAATACAACATTTAAAATGAAGAACATGTAAAGTTAAATCAACAAACTTATCAGTATTTCAATGGGAACTGTGGGCCTGCTTTTGGCTAATGTAATGACATGGTGAATGTCCGGTTCCATAGTTGTCACTTCTATTCGTAACAAGTGATGCAAGCGTGCATCAGTTAGTCTAGATCTGGTTGGAGATTTCAGATGTTTCATTCTGGAAAAAGTCTGTTCATAGACATGTACAGCCAAAGATGGTTGCCATTTTGAGTGCATGGTTTCTGAGCTTAGGATATGTCTCAGAGGGGAGAGATGCATAGAAATTAAAAAGGCTGCTTGACTTGAATGTGTCGTTCAGAGAGTCACAATTCTGCAGTTCAGCTAGTTCCATTTCGTAAATTGTATCCATATCTTCAATGTCAATAGAAAAGGGATTACAGAAAAGCTGTATAGCCTGTTCATGAAGATGAAGCTCTTCTAAATTGGAACTCCTTTTGCAACTTTTCCAGTGAATTCACACATGTTTTTTTGGTAACAGATTTTGAGTTGTGGGGAAATGGTAGAAATTTTCTTCGTTAACTTGTTTGATGAGGAGGCTTAATTTTACTTCAATTGCATATCACAGATGAGTCCAGAGGCAGGCTCTTGGTGCTGGTTGGTCCAGAAGCTGTTGACATCGCAAAGTTCCCCACCCAGCTGGGCCAGGCTTCCATGAGGCTCCCAATGGATGGGAGAGGGGTGGGCAGGGGACGAGAGGCTGGGGGTTGAGCCTGCCCTGCGAATTATGGCGGCGCTCATCCATGGATAATGAAGCTTTGGAAATGCGAATTGGAGGATTATGACAGTATCGGGTCCAGGAACCGGAGACAAAGATGATTGTCATGTTCCAAGGTGCGTCCTGGGTGAGGACAGTGACATTCAGGTGTGTCCTTAGGAGTCCTGAGTGGATCATCAGGGTCTCAGCTCTGTTTATTGTCTTCTGATGTTGGTGCTATCCCAAAGGGGAGTTTTGGGTGACGATTTCTGGCTCCCTGCTGGGAAACAGGAAGGTCCTTTGTTTCTTGGAGAGGGATCGAGAGACCACCCCAGGCAAGGGAAAGTCCAGAGCAGAGGTTATTGGAGATCACCCTTACCTTCAGTTTATTATTATTATATATACATTTTATAGGAGTAGAAGAGAAGAAGAGCAAAGTATAGAAATAAATTGTATGGGAGCGTCTCTATTAAAACCAACTCTCCTCCTGAACTATATCCATTCCTTAGTCATCTATGCTTCCGAGTACCATCGATTATCCCTTATCCAAAAGGGTTGAGTATCTGTATTTTGATTTTTTAAAAAGATTTTGGAATATTTGCATACATAATGAGGTATCTTAGGAGACCCAAGCACAAAATTCATGTACATTTTAAAACTGTTTTAATTAATTGTTTAATGCTTTTAATTGTATTGTTGAATGTTTATAATTGTGACAGCACCAAATGGTGCTTGCTGTGAGGCCTCCCTGATTCCCCCCTTGGGGGTGAGAAGGGCGGGTTACAAATACAGGAAATAAATAAAATAAATATTAATTCATAAGGAAAAGGCGAGGGGGGAGTATGGTTCGGCATCACTCTTTTAATCTTTATACTACCTGTCATTTATTGCAATATCCCAGATCTCCCTATGCCACTCTTCCAATTGGATCTCCCCTCCTTTTATAGCTATTAACAGTCTTGTGACAGCAGCCTTTTTAAGATCAAATTTTGGAGACTGGGTTGGAAGAGGAAGGAGTTAGGGAAGTGGTGATGAAGGAAAGGGAAGGAGTTTTGGGCACTGTTTTGGGGTTCTAAGAAAGAAACCTCTTTGAGAAAATAGTAGTTTTAGGCCTCCAAAGCATTTAGAGTGCTTTGAAGAAAGGAAGGGAGAATTCAAAAAGTTTTAAAAGATTCCTGTTTGAAATTCCATGTGTGGAACTTTGTTCTAAGGAAACTTAAGATTTAAGTATTGTTCCTCTGTATTGAAGAAAGGCCTAACAACCATTAAGCTTATTTGACTGTTCTAAATAAACAATGATTTCCTGTGTTATTACTGGAGTCTCCCTGTGTCTTTTAAACATTTCAGTAAAGGAGGTGGCGTAATGAGGTAACATATTGGTGGCAGCAAAATCCGTCTCTATATAGATAATTGTGTCTATATAGGATTTGCAAAGACTTGCAAACATGTGAGGGGAAAATTCATATAAAGTAATGTACATAGAGATCTCTAGATCTCTAGTAAGGTACATAGAGATCTCTAGATATCTCTATGCATCTATATGTATATAGGATTTGCAAAGACCTGCAAACATATGAGGGGAAAACTTCCAAGGGAACAAAATATAAAGTTAATACATTTAGATAAACAAAAAGGTCAGGAAATTGGATGGTTTTGAAAGAGAGCCATACAAACAAGGAGGACATGAACTATCTCTCTTTCCTTCCCTCCCCTGTGACTAGAAAAGAAAATACACTGACAAGGGAGGTGAGGAGGAGAGAGAAATAGATCATAGCAATTGCCTCCAGGCTCTGTTGTCTGGCCTTGACCTTGACCCCATTATAAGACAAGGGAGCTTTTTTCAGCTCAAAAAAAGGGCTAAAAAGCTTGGCTTATCTTTCGGTAATTCAAAGATCATCTCAACAACTTCCAATTTCAACCTTACTCTGCTTATTTGTGAATGCAAGCAAAAGTAATATTGCCTGATTTTAGTAGGAAGAAAAAACTATGTTTAAATCATGCATTGTTATTGAAATAAATAGTTTAGATTCATAATAAATAGTTTACATTTGTAACATGAAGACGCTGCACACTATATGCTGGGCTTGTGCAATCTGTGTAAACTGTGATCTGTTTTGAAGTCTCGGATTTCAGTGGTGGTGGCGATTCATTTTTCAGGAGCCTCCCAAATTCAGGAGGACAAAAATCCATTTTCGATCCGGGAAGCTGAAAGATTCATTTTCTATCCAGCTCATTGGGATTTCCCAGGTTCCCCTTCCCGTCATTTTAGTCATTATTTGTCCTTGTATCCTTCATTAAGACCTGGATCAAAAGCATCAGAGTTAAGATACCACTCTTTCTGCGATCCTTTTCCTTCTATCTGTAGAGGAGACCTGGGTTTAATAAAGGGCTTAAGAAACCTCGCTTCCTGGGATACTTTTCATGGAATCATAGAAACATAGAATCCTAGAGTTGGAAGAGACTTCATGGGCCATCCAGTCCAACCCCCTGCCAAGAAACAGGAAAATTGCATTCAAAGCACCCCTGACAGATGACCATCCAGCCTCTGTTTAAGAGCTTCCAAAGAAGGAGCCTCCACCACACTGAATGGCTCTCACAGTCAGGAAGTTCTTCCTAATGTTCAGATGGAATCGCCTTTCTTGTAGTTTGAAGTTTTTCCTTCTAGCGGCTGCCTCCCTCCCTGCACTCAACGTGTAATCAAACACAGCCAGTTTTCAACAGCTTTTGTTCTGTTGCAGCTAGTTAAAAAATGCCGGCAGAGCTCATGTCTATATGGGTTTCCGAAGCAGCTGAACAAGCCAAAGGCAAACATCCAAAGTGAATCCATACACAAGCCTACTAGGCTTTACTAATGATATATTTTCTGTTCTTGTGAATTCTTTGCTTATAGCTATTTACTGAAATGAACAGAAATTAGACTTATCTTTATCTTGATATTGCCATAAATCAGTAGCAGCAACAACAATGTGATTTTAAAGCCTTTCTTCTTTTTTATGTTACAGTTGGGAAATGTAGCACTGTCTCCAATATATTTTGTGATCAACGTGATCATGAGACTCTTCTCCAAGCCCAGTCCTGCTATTACCCTAGAGAATCCAGACGTGAAATATGCATTAAGGCTAATTGACAAAGAGGTAAGGAATACATTAGTTCCACTTTTCTTATATGTATGTACTAGGCTTGGGTGATCAAGAAAAAAAATGTTTCTAAACTCATTTCGTATATAGGGGGCACTGGCGTTTCAAATCTGAAATGATTTCCGAAATTTCCGATCAAAAATTTCGGATATAATCTGAAATATCCGAATCGCTTCGTTAATGACGGACGCGATTGCGCAATACGCAAAAAACCAGCAAACAGGACAGGGGAAACTTCTGGAGCTTCCCTCTCCCTCTGTTTTTGATTGTTGGTGATAAAACTTACAACAACCAACTAAAATTAAATTAAAATTAAAATTAATAAATAAATAAAATTACTGAAATTATTAAATAAATAAATAAGAATATTTCAATAAAGTATTAAATTTTTAAATTATATATATTATTATTAATAATAATAATAATAATAAACCTTTATTTATACCCCGCTAACATCTCCCGAAGGACTCAGTGTGGCTTACAAGAGGCCGAGGCCCAACACATCAAAAAACAACAGCATAACAAATACAACAATAAATAAACTCATAAAACAGGCAATAAACATTAAAAACAATAGCAATTAACATTAAACAATAACACCATGACACATTTAAAACTAAGGCTGGGCCCATGTAATGATTAAAAAATTTAAAATGCTGGGCATGACAGGTGAAATAGATAGAATTTTGGAGATAAGTGCGATGTGCAGACAATCTTAAATCTCTAGTAAAGTGCATTTGTGACATGATGCTTGGAGTTTCCTATTCTGGGAAGGCACACTGGAACAACCACGTCTTCAAGCTCTTCCTAAAGACTTCCAATGTTGGGGCTTGTCTGATGTCCTTGGGGAGAGAGTTCCAGAGTCAGGAGGCCACCACAGAGAAGGCCCTGTCCCTTGTCCCCACCAATCGTGCTTGCGACGCAGGTGGGATCGTGAGCACGGCCTCTCCAGATGATCGGAGAGATCGAGTGGGTTTATATACGGAGATGCGGTCATGCAGGTAGGCGGGTCCCAAACCGTTTAGGGTTTTGTAGGTAAGCACCTGCATCTTGAATTGGGACCGGAAAATGAATGGCAACCAATGGAGCTCCTTAAACAGGAGGGTTGACCTCTCCCTGTAATGAGCACCAATTAACAACCTGGCCTCAATCCGTTGGACCAGTTGGAATTTCCAGGCCGTTTTCAAGGGCAGCCCCACATAGAGCGCATTACAGTAGTCCAATCTGGAGGTGACTAAGGCATGGACCACCCTGGCCAGATCTGCCTTCACAAGGTACGGTCGCATTTGGCGCACGAGTCTCAATTGTGCAAAAGCCCTCCCAGACACCGCCGACGCCTGAGCCTCAAGCGTAAGTGATGAGTCCAAGAGAACACCCAAACTGCGGACCTGTGACTTCAGGGGGAGTATAACCCCATCCAGCACAGGTTGCCACCCTATACCCCGATCCGCTTTACGATCGACCAGAAGGACCTCTGTCTTGTTGGGATTGATCTTCAGCTTGTTCATCCTCATCAAGACAGCCACAGCAGACAGACACTCGTCCAGCACCCGAGGGGCTTCCTTGGAATTAGGTGGAAAGGAGTAGTAGTTGTGTGTCATCTGCATAGAGATGGCACCCAACTCCAAAACCCCGGATGACCTCTCCCAGCGGTTTCATGTAGATATTAAAAAGCATGGGAGACAAAATAGAGCCTTGCGGGACCCCACAGGTCAAAGGCCAGGGGTCTGAGCAGGCGTCTCCCAGCTTCATCATCTGGGATGGACCCTCCAGGAAGGACCAGAGCCACGACAGAACCGTGCCCCCGAGACCCATCCCAGAGAGTTGTCCCAGAAGGATACCATGACCGATGGTATCGAAAGCCGCTGAGATGTCCAAGAGAACCAGCAGGGTCACACTCCCCTTATCCAGTTCCCTGCGACCAAAGCCGTCTCGGTGCCGTGTCCAGGCCTAAAGCCAGACTGTCCCTGGTCCAGGTAATTGATGTCATCCAGAAAGCCCTGGAGCTGGGAGGCAACCACCCGCTCCAGCACCTTGCTGAAGAAAGGGAGGTTGGAGATTGGCCTGTAGTTGTTCAGCACCATGGAGTCAAGGAGTGGTCGGACCATAGCCTGTTTTAGTTGAGATGGAAAAACACCCTGCTCCAGTGATGCATTAATGATCAACACAAACCAATCAGTCAACCCATCACTGGCCGATTTAATTAGCCAAGACGGGCAAGGGTCTAAAGCCGATGTGGTTGCCCTCACAGCACCAAGGACCTCCTCCACGGTCTCAGGAAGAACAAACCTAAAAGAATCCCACAAAATCGGACAAGCAGATGCCTCAGTCACCTCCCCTGGCACTGTGATGAAATTGGAGTCCAGCTCAAGGCTTATCTGAGCAACTTTGCCTGCAAAAGGTCTCCTCCACCACAGGTGGGCGAAGGAGCTCCCCGACAACCCAAAACAGCTCCGATGATCTATTAGATTCAGACGCTATACGGGCAGTCGTGAAAGACTCCCTGGCTACCCATATAGCCATGGTATAAGCCCTAATAGAGGCTTTAGCCCATGCTTGGTCAGATGCATCCCGAGATTTCCTCCATATGCACTCTAGCCCCCTTCTCATGCGTTTCATCACAGCCAGCTCCTCAGTGAACCAAGGAGATCGTGTGTCTCGACACAACGCGATGGGGCGTTCGGGAGCGATTGTGTCTATCGCCCTGGTCATCTCACTGTTATAGTGATCAACCAAGGTGTCGACAGAATCGCCAGGCCCCATAGCAGGAAGAGCCCCAGGATTCCTCAGGAATCCATCCGGATCCATCAGTCTCCTGGGGCGGACCATCTTAATTGATCCTCCACCCCTGCGAAGGTTAGAGTTCACAGATAGCCTAAAACTGATCAGATGATGGTCAGACCATGACAATGGAAGGATGTTTTGTTCTCCCACTCTGACTATTCCACTGTCTGCTACAAAAACCAGGTCGAGTGTATGTCCAGCCTGATGGGTAGGCCCAGATATAATTTGTGAGAGCCCCATGGTCGTCATGGCGGCCATGAAGTCCTGAGCCGCTCCTGTCAAAGAGGTCTCAGCGTGGATGTTGAAGTCTCCCAGCAAAATCAAGTGCCGGGAAAATAAGGCCGAATTAGAGACCAAATCTGCTAGCTCAGGCAGGGAGACTGCTGAGTCGCGGGGTGGGCAGTACACCAGCAGAAACCCCAAGCTATCACAGTTCCCCACTCCCAGGTGAACACACTCGAACCCAGATGATTGCGAAACAGTGCATCTGACCACGGCGATGGATTGCCAAAAGACAACTGCGACCCCTCTTCCCCGCCCCCCGGATCTAGCCTGCTGATGCACTCCGAAACCAGGTGAGCACAGCTGGGTGAGATTAAATTAAATATTACAAGGAGAAAAAAATTGCTGCCTGAGTGGGGAAAATTCGTATTTCTAGAGCAGACCTCTCTTAATTTCAAAAAATTAAATTTCTCATTTACCACTATTTGCTTGTCGTCGCCCCCCCCCCCACGAGTTACTGTTCATGGATCTTACTTGACCACCTGACCACCTCCTTCGACACCTCCCAGGGGGATTAATCCTCCCAACATCTGGAGATAATCCCCCCCTGCCATGAGTGACCATTTGGACTGCTTTGTTTGCCAGCTGTCCTCCTCCAACATCTCCTCCTCCAACTACTTCCAGGGATCCATCTACCCCAGGAGCAAACATTTGGAACGCTTTGTCCTTCTAAACACTCACAGAGCAGTAAAATTGCACCTCCCATTCCTTACTGGAGTGTGGAGAAGGACAGGATAGAAACAAATAATCAAAAGTAAGTGTAAGTGAAATATAACCAAAGGTTGCGACAACGTGTTCCAAAAAACCAAAGTAATTATGAAGTAATTGAAAAATAACCAAGTATTAAAGAACGGAAGGTTGCTATTATGTGTTTGAGAGATCCTTCGTCCTATAATTGCTTCTCCATAGGGAGTGGCGTTCCGGAAGGCTAATGATGATGATGATGTTTTTGATGCCTGAAAAAAACCATATCCTTGGTCACACAGCAGACAAACAGGTACCCTTCAAAGACAGGAAAGAAGTATTGTATCCTCGGGAGAGGCAGGAAAACAGAAGAAGATCTTGGGAAGGAAAGGAAAATGCAGAATGCAAAGTAGAGGGATGAAATGCTGTCCCTTACACTGGGCAGCCAGGAAGACACTTCACTCATCACAATGAAGGCATCAATCTACCCACTCCTGGACAGATGCCTGCCTCAAAGTGCTCTGTGGTAAAATTATCCCAAGTGCTCCAGAGAAGCTCCAGAGTGACTGGATGGTCATCCTAAGTAACAAAAGGAACCAAGTCAACTTCATGTATGTCAAGGAACCCAGATCCCATCCTGGAGTTGCAGGAAAGAGCAGATGTCAAGTCACCAACCACTGTGGAGATGACATCCCAGAAAGAGATGGGAAACCACCCCCCTTTTGAGTCCCCCAATAACTTAACAAAGTGCACTGAGAAAATAGAGGGATGTAAACACCTTTGTGCGATAACCAAGTTGTGACTACGATTCCCGAGTACTTTTGGAGGACACATAGCAGTAAAACGGGCACCCCTACGAGTCCTTCCCGGGGTGTAGAGAACGCAACAGCGTAAGTATTAGTACTCAAAGAAAAGAAGACTTTAATAAACAAAGGTACCGCCAGGTTTTGTACGTACATATTCCAAATACTCCCAGTAAATATTAAATAATTAAATAAGTGACAAATAAATAGTAACCCCCCTCCTTGATTCGTGGGTTGGGTGTAGTGTCACGATAACAGCATCAAGGAAGGTCAAGCAGTTACAGCAGAACTGCAAGCCTGAATGGCACTCCACCATGCAGCAAACAACCAGTCAGCCCTGACAGAGAACCTTTAAGAAATGTCTGTCTCCACAGGGAGGGACTGGAAGGATGATGAGGACAGAGCACGCGGCCTGACTACAGAATGAAAGTCAAAGTTGTGCTA